GAAGGGTCCATCACTGTTTGTGCACATAAGTGCACACGTGTGCACTAAGCCATGCGTTTGTAAAGCTGTATGACACTCGTGTACGCGTGGATGGATATGCCTGTCCCCGTATAGACACGTGTACATTCGTACCACGGTGTTTTTATGAAAGAGGGCTGGTGCCACCAGGCTGCTCTGGCTCGATGGATTCTTCTATGGAAGGGACTTAACCAAGGACCCATGGGCGTGGGCACAAAAGCAGGGAACGCCACCAAGGCAAAAGGTAGCCATTCCCTTCCCTTCCTCCCACACAGGGTGCCGGCAGACAGGGAGCCAGCCGTCACTACGCATGCGCATATGGCGGCAAAGCCGCGGAGCATGCGCAGACATGGTGCACCGCTTCCCGCCGCCTATGCGCCCACCGGCGGCATCCGGAAATCCGTGGAGGATCATCCGACTCTCGTCCTCTGATTCGTTCCGACCACTTCCACTTCCTGCCGTTCGGCGAGCGTGTCCCCGTTGGATGCGCGCCAGTCCTATTTTGTTTCCGGGGGAATCTGTTTTTCTGAAGAACGCTCACAACTTCCGGTGTTCCCTTCGGCCTTTGATTGGCTAGTTTTATGAATTAATTAAAGCATAGTCGGGATAAAATGGTAATTTTTTTCTACCATTGGATAATTTTTTTTCTACCGTTGAATAAGTGCTTAAATTAACAAACAAATAAATAGAATTAGAGTACCTTTCTACTAACACGTCTTTTTGGACTATAAACAAAAATCACCATTATCAAAAAGTGTTCGAACTATTGGACTATAAATATTCCTACGCTCAACCAGTACACCGTGTTGTATGAAAGGAGAGAAGGTTAGCACTCCCCTTGACAAGGATGGAAGAGGCCCTTGGGCCTAACAACACACATACGGTTAAGGCATTGCCACCTACTTCGTGGCATCTAACCACTGTTTTTTTTTTTGTTTCTTTTTGTCTGAAGCTCAAGGCTGCAGAGGACGTACTTTTGTACGTCCTACAGTCTTGCTCGAAACTTCTGATCACCATCCTGGCTCTCTGAACCGGGTATGTGTGCCGAGGCACCTGGGACAGGTGTAGACTACTTCAAAGAGGCCGTTTCAGTCTGAGGCCTAGAGGACTGCCAGGTTTGGTAACTCAACTTCCCATCTGCTGAGAGCTTTTTGCTCATCACCTTCAGATACTGGGGCTTTCCTGAGAGAATTCTTGCACTTAATGCTCGAACAGCAAATAGACCGCAAGTGCTGCTCCAGACATGGAGGTGGCTGTGCCTGGGAGCTCCTGTGGGCTCTCGCAGAGCAGGCTGTACCAGGAGGTGGTATCCACACTGGCTTCCTTAAATTGACTGTGGCACATAACTTGCCCATTCTGTGTATTTAGTAACAGTGTGTACATGTCTATGTGTGCTGAGGTGCATACCCATTTGTACTGTATACCGCCTGTGCTCAGGTGAACAAATGTGCTCTGTGCTCATATGATGTGTACACACAGCATAAAATTTTAAAGTGTTAAGACAACCGAAAAAACAAATTTGAGAAAGACCTGTGACATTTACGAAACAGGGACAGGAAGGTGCAAAATACTGCTCTCTCCACTCTACACGGTTGAAAGCTTCTAATAGTCATGTCTTGTCTCTACTAGGCAAGGTCACATGCAGCCCAGGCTGATCTTGAACTCATGATTGTGCTGAGGGTGATCTTGAACTCCTGACCCTCCTACCTCCAATCCCCAAATGCTGGGATTACTGGTTTAACACCACCACATCCAGTGATTCCTCAGTTTTTAGTTTCTTTAAGGGGGGAAAGGGGTGTGTGAGTGAAAACCAGTGCTTATCAAGATAAAGTCTACCACTAATCTCCATGCGCACTCCTAAGATGCTCTGGCTCTGCCATCCAGGCAGGCCTTGAACTTTACACCCCTCCCGCCTCAGTGACTGGAGTAAGTTGATTACAGCCCTGCACCACACTTGCCCCTCACTTGTTTGTAATGGATATACTTCAAAACATTTCTCAAGATGCTAGTGTAGAACATCATCTTTGCACACATTATTTTGAAATTAACATAAATATGCAAACTTTGAGGTAATTTTTTAGATTTTAAAATATAATTTTTATTTTTATCTTTTATTTTGTCTGATAGTCTTTTTTGCATTTTATAAAATCTTTATTGACAAATAATTCGCATAGTATACAATTCTCCTATTTGCACAATTTGATAGTCCAGCATCCTCATAGGCCCATGACACCATCACCACTTTCTATTTTAGAACATCACTGTCTTCAATTTCATACACACATATAATGTATGGTGATTACATTCCACCTTATTTTTTTAAATGAACATAATATTTGCAATTGTAACCATTTTTAACATAAAAACAGGTTATAATTCAAAAGTCCAGGGTTATTTGAAACAGGAAAATTATTTTCTCTGTAGAAAATAGTAAAAATGATAACATTTCCCAATAAGCCCTTTTAAGCCAAATAATAGCTGAATTATACATATAAATATTGATTAGATTCTGGAATACAGAAGAAACCTATCTTCATCTATTCAGAGAGCTAAGTTTTACTTAAGTTGTGTAAGTGAGATTCCTATTCATCTTCCCCTTCAGTGTTTGATTTATGGCAGACATTTTTCTATAGGCTAATCCATAATCTAAAAAGATTTTAGCCTCCCCTCCTGAAAGTACAGCCAGCATTTTCTTTCATCAGCTTGATTCTTATCCTAATAGTGAAGTGTTTCACTAAAGCTTGCCCAGTGATTGGGCAAAACCAAAATGTATAAGCTACAGTCATCCTAGCCCCCCCACACACACACCCGCTAGGTACCCTCCCTGGATCTGTGGGTTGCAGTGTGATAGACCAAAACCAAAACCAACAACCCACAAGAGTTTCAAAGCACAGATCCACCGTTGGGATGACTGGCCCACCCACAAGGTAAAGTGGTCAGATCAGCAGCCCTCCTTGCAAAGGTAGGACATTTGGCCTTCTCAGGGCCATAGCACCTACTGGGGGTAGACATATGGGAACGGACAGACAGACAGACATATGGGAAATTGAACTCAGGGCCACATTTGCTCTAAATGGCATTGCTGGAACCAAAGGGAGAACACGGCTCTTCTCCGAATGGAGGGTGGAAACCTTTAAGGCATTGGGCCATGGAGCAACACACTTCTCTTGGAGGTGCTTGCAGAGGGTGGAGGGACTACAGAATGGATAGTACAGGAAGGTAGTTCCAAATACCATCTAAGGCCATGTGACCAGATGCAGAAATGAGGATTATAACTGATGTGAGTGCCTCTGTTCTATTTTGTTAAGAATGTGTTTTCTTCCAATTTCCTTATATGTTGTAACACCAATTAAGAGAATATCAGTGGCTATCATACGTAAGTTTGAGATACTAAAAGGATGCTCCCCCAAAGACATTACCACTATTCTAAATTTATGTGTTTGGGTTGTGCGAGGGTTATATCATGTTAGGTGTAATTATGACCTGGTTAGATATATAATGTATCTGCAATTGTGCATGGGAGTTATATTTAGGCATTATAACCAGGTTATTGTTTTCATTTAAAAATTAATCATAAGGAGATGGTTGTGTCAAGTTGACAAGGGGTGGATTGTGATGGCTATTCTTAGTTGTCAACTTGACTGTATCTGGAATGAACTATAATCCAGAAATGTTGGGCACACTTGTGATCCAGATTTTGAGGCAAGACATGCCTTTGGTTTGGATCTTGACACTTGAGGACACACTTTTAATTCAGACCTTGAGGTGGGAAGACACACCTTTAATCTGGGCCACCCCTTCTGCTGGAAGCCTACTAAGGACAATGGAAGGCGGCTTTGGTCTTGGCCTGCTTGCCCCTGCCTTGTCAGCACACCCGTCCCTTCACTTGTGGAATATTTGTACACTGTATGAACATGTACTGCTGTGATTGCCGTAATAAAAAACTGAACAGCCAATAGCTAGGCAGGAGGTATAGGTGGGATTTCCAGAGAGAGAAAGGAAGAGGAGTCAAGGTATGCAGGAGACACCAGGAGACAAGGAGAGGAAAGAGGAGGGGCAAGATGGAAGAGGTAAGGTCATGTGATAAAATATAGACTAATATAAATGGGTTAAGTTATAAGAGCTAGTTAGGAACGAGCCTAGGCTATAGGCCAAACTTTCATAATAAGTCTGTTTCATTATTTGGGAGCTGGCTGGTGGGACATTCACTGGCATTGGAACCTACTTCTTCAGGACTCCAGCATATACAGAAGACCAGCTGAGACACCCAGCTTCGTGAGGCTGAGCAGCTACTAGATTCTTGGACTCTCCTTTCCCAACTAGCCATTGTTGGACTGTAGCCTGTCATTCCAATAAATTTCCATACATGTATGTTTGTGTGGAGAGAGATTCATTCCCTAAGTTCTGTGACTCTAGAGAACCTTAATACAGGCTGCTTTTCAGACTGGGTCTCACTATATAGCCCAGGCTAATCTTGACTATATCTGGTGTTGGGATTACAGGGTGACTCTCAACTGCAGACCTCCCGAGTTCATTATCTAAATGCTTACCACAAACATTCTTTGTGCATTCCCAGCAGCTTCCTGTTTCCTTCTCTTTGGAACTCATTAACTTAATAAAGCATGCATCACCTTGCCTGGTTAAAAATTTAAGAAATTCTTTTTTTCAAGACAGGGTTTCTCTGTGTAGCTCTGGCTGTCCTGGAACTTGCTCTGCAAACCAAGCTGACCTCAAACTCAGAGATCCGCCTGCCTCTGCCTCCCGAGTGCTGGGATTAAAGGTGTGTGCCACCACCGCCCGGCTAATTCTTATAGACTGTCAGTCAAGTGGCTGCTCAACAAGTAACAGGACTTGGCACCAAGCCTAGTGAAGAGTCTCCTCCCCAGGTGGGAGGAAACAATAGCTTGTCCTCTGACCTCCCGCATGCAACATATCTATATACACAAAATGAATTCCTTTAAAAGAAGTTATATGGGACAAAATTACAAGACATGAAAATCTTTTATTTCCAAAAAGAGAATGTATTTTTACATAAATCTACAACAGAGTTCAACTGTAGAAAAAATAAACTATACTTGGGGATACTGTGCTCAGCATGGCAAGCAAGCTCCCTCCCTCAGGAGGGGGCTGCACACCAGGCCACAGTTGGAAGGACCTCAACACCCCTCCAGAAACCCCACAGCAACATGCCCACAATGCTGACCAGAACCCAGGCACATCTATCCAATAGATGCCACAGGCCCCAGGACCCATGTCAGTGACAAGCCACCCTCTTTAATCCCATGTGCATATCGTCTCCCAAAAGCAGGGCACAGGAGTGTGTAGGAAGTACCTTTTCCAACATCTTTTAGGATTCTTGCCAGGATAGAGTGGCCAACAAAGGGCTGTCTAGACCATGAGCTGAGGACAGGTCCTCAGCAAAGTCAAAGCAGAGCAACCACAGACCAGGACAACCTGGGTTCATAGAGACCTGTTGGTTATGCAGGCTGTGGCAGCCAGAGCAAACCCAGAACCTCTCCAGAGCAATGCCTGTGCCTAGCAGCCTCACCCAACCATCTGGACCAGAAATATCCAGAGCCTCTGTGCTCTGTTACCATGGCAGGCCATCCTGGGTATAGCCAGCAGCTGTTAAAATGCCGTGCAGCTCTGAGCCTGGCCATCACCTCTTCCTAATCTTGGTCACACAGAAGCCAGGGAATAGAGGATCCATTTGGGGCAGGGACTGTGTGGCTGGTGGGTTTAGTGGCCAAGGGAGAAGGCTGTACTTGCTGGGATAAGCACCACAATGAGCCCCTCCCTCCTGCAGAGGTGACCTTGAGCCTCACCCACGATGGAGGACCAGAACCACCCCACATGATGCCTGTCCAAGATTTCCACTCTTTTTCAACTGAAGGTCTTCCTCTCAAACACTCAGTGCCCACAGAAGCCATTGGGAAAGAAGAGGCACAGCAAGGATCCATGTTCCCAGAGATCTTTCCAACCCCTGCCCTGGGGGAATTTTCTAAAAGCCAGGTGCAGATGAGCTCCCGTCTGAACTCAGGGCCACAGAGGGTCCAAACCCACCTTTTATTACAGTGTGTGTAGCTTACTGAGTGACACCAGTGACAAGAGGACACTGTGCAACCACTGAGAGGTCAGTGTTGACCTATCAACTCCGAAAATACAAAGGGACTTGACGCAGATACAACTTACAACCTTTCTATGTTTCCAGAAAGTCCTGGAAACACATTGGGTACTATTACAGGAAGGGAACGTGAACAAGCAGGCCAAGGCTGGAGGCAGGGAACGGGAATGGGGCTACAGGTCCTGCTCCAGTGTACACTGGGCAATACAATACCAAAAAGATACAGAACAATTACTGGGGAAAACAACCCATGACGAGTTGAACTCACTCTTGTAATAAAAAATTAAAAATCTGCTGCCTCTGAGCACAGAACAGACCAGGAACTCCCCAGGCAGGGACAGAATTGGCAAGAAATGTCACAGTGGCTATCAAGACTCGGTAGTGTGCACTCCCCTGACCCGACATCTTCAGAGAGGAGGTGCACCAGGCCTGTCACCTAGCCTGGCCCCACACCTCTGCCCCACATGTGTTTCTTGCCAATCCAGGCGGCTTCCTGAAGTCGTTATGGAGCCAGGACTTAGCAGTCACTCTTCCACAGTTTGATTGTTTTGTCATTCTCTAACGCTGCCGAGGCAATGATGTTCTCCGTCGGGTGACAAGCCGTGGAAATCACGACGTCTGAAAAAGAGTGAGTCAGGCACTCCAGGAGCAGTAGTCGCAACACACGCCTGCTGGCCTCAAGAGCACAGCAGCACCCCAGGGCTTTCGGGGAGTACTCAGAATGCCAGGAATTACAGTAACACGCCCCATAGCCTTCATCTGCTGGGCACAGGGAACTTCGTGGGTATCCAGCAGGGTCCTCATTCCTGTCTCCTGCCCTCCTCCCTGGTCCCAGGGCTGACCACTCCCATTGCCTCCTACCACCAACACAAACTTCATGAGATTGCTCTCCCTGAGCAAGAGGTAACCATACCCCTGGGCTGGGCACTTGAGGGCCACTGACTCTACCTGCTCCCTGGGTGCTCAGGAACCACAGCAAATATAACCAAGCTACTCCCAGATGAGGGCAACTGCTCTGTCAGAAAGAAGAGCTGCAGAGGGGCACATGCTATCCCTGCCCCACACAGAGAGTGGACAGGCAGGAACAGCTAGAAAAATGAGTGAGGTTACCCAGAACTACACCTCAGAATCAGGTGCTGGACTCAAAGCTGAGCTATGCCTAGGAAATGGAAAACCAGCATCCCTGAAAGGGGATGGAGCCTCCAGGAAACGCCGCTCATCGTGCAGGTTAGACACTGTCCATATTCACTTTTGGGTTGCAGTGCCAGCAGCTGTCAGTCTCCACATGCCTGGTCTCCAGTGAGGAAAACAAGCTACATTCCCAGGAGGCCTAGATATGAGTCAACATCTATAACCAACCAGGCCCAGGACCCCAGACGAGAGCCCTTGATGTTGCTTCCAAGCTAGTTGAATGCCCTCTCAGGCCTGCAGGGATGGGATGGCAGGCAGAACAGAGTAGCAATTCCTGCCTGTGTGCCCCTAAACTGCAGAGACAACCAAGCATTCGGAGGACTGAGAGACTCCCCTGGGTGGCTCCACCCACCTGTGTGACCCTGCAACTTCTGCACAATCTCCTTGGTTTGCAGATTCCAGATATACACCAGGTTATCTTCAGAACCAGACACGATCCACTGCAGCAGCACAGCAGGCAGCCAGCAAGGACAGGCAAGACACCAGTAAGTTATGTGTTGAGTAGGGAGCAACAGGCAAGCTGCCTGGCACCACTCTGACCCCTTGTTCCTTCAACTTGGGGACATGCCAAATGCCTCCCATGCCACCCCTCGGTGAGTCTGAGTTTCTATCCAGTCACCACTTGCTCTTAGATCTTCAACCAGATTCAAGGGCAAGACACCACAGTTCCATCCAGGAGGGGATGTATGGGTTTGCTCCATAGGCTCAGGGAAGCTTCATAAAGACATGAAGCCAGGCTGGAGAGATGGCTCAGAGGTTAAGAGCGCTGACTGCTCTTCCAGAGGTCCTGGGTTCAATTCCCAGCAACCACATGGTGACTCACAACCATCTGTAATGATATGGTGCCCTCTTCTGGCCTGCAGTCATACATAAAAACCAGACATGAAGCCACCTTCATGGGTGGCTTCTCAGGAGAGAACTGGCAGGGGAAGAGCAGCTCAGTGGAAGACTCACCTTCCCACCTGTCACGGAGAAGTTGGCAAATATGCAGTACTTCTCATTCTTGTGGCCAGTGTACGTCTTCAGGCACTGAAAAGGTGGGTGTGCATTGTTAGCTCTGTGGTCCTCTTTCATTCCAGAGGATTCCAAGTTCTGGGCACGCATATCCAACTACTGCCTAAATATATTCTGAAAATATTCTAGACACATACAATGACAGAGCCATAGGCCCCAACTTTGACCTGCAGACTAGCCATTCACACAACACCATGTCTTTAAAGGCAGTTGTACCAAACTTGCTTAAAAAGAAGACGGCTCTTAGTCTCTTCTGCTTCAACTCCTGGGTCTGCTGCACCACCCTCAACCTGTTACCTGGGGCTGGTACACAGGCCAGGCCCTCCGAGTGCCTGAAGCTCACCTTCCCCTTGCTGTAGTCCCACAGCTTCAGCGTGCTGAAAGAGAGAGAGCGGGAGTGAGGGGCAGCTCATCTTTAGCCATTCTCAGCCTCTGATGCCACCATTTCCCAACAACCATGGGTGTCAGGACGTTCAGCCACTCCATGACACACAAGAGCAAACATAAGGAACCTAGTACTTGTAGTTTCAAAGACAGACTGAAGAGGTTGCAGGCTATCTTCCCAAAACCAGTGGCTGGCCACAAGCAGAATGTGGAAAACCTCCAGAAACATCCAGGACAAACTTCATGATAAGCATCTTCTGCTCGTCCTTGGGACAAAGTTCATGCCAACCATGGGGAGAAGTGGTAGGCTAACCAGGATAATGCCAATCAAGCAGCTCTCAGAAGGGGTGACCAGGCAGGGTTCCTTTAAGACTTTATACAGTGTGCCAGCTTAAATGAGCACCTAGAAAGGGGTCAGCATGTGTGACAGTGAGATTCTGCTACATGAAGGTGCTCAGAGACTGAGAAGTGCTTTAAAGCCAGCCTCACCTGTGTGAGGCCATGGGCTCCAGCCCTGCACTGAAGGCAAACAAACCAAAAGTCAAGATCTCAGAGGCCCAGGAAGGCCTTCAGAGGTCACCTGTCCTGCGTCACCTCTGTGTAGAAAATCTGCCTTGCAGAAACAGCCTAGACCTCAAATCCTTCTCATATTAGAACTAGCTGGAGTGGACAGTCAGCCTTTCTTCTGCTCCTCAGCCCACAGTCCAGGGCTGAGCTCTAATGCACAAATGTAAAAGCCCTAACTAGGCTACTGGAAGAACACAACACAACAGGAGAGGAACTCCACCAATGAAGGCTGTGTTAAAGCACTCACTTGTCCAAAGTTGCAGCCAGGATGTATTTGCCATTTGGAGAGAACTTCACGAAGGACACTGGAGGATTGTCATCATCTACACAGAACAAAGACAGGCTGACTCTTGGCAGAGTAGAGAGGCAGGACAGCTCCCCATCACCCATGCAGGACATCTGTGTGAGGCCCCTGCCACCTGTACTATTACCATGACCTTGAAGGCCCTCCAAGAGCCTGACATTCCATCTCCCATCACCTTCCTGGTCATTCACATTAAGGCTTCACCCCAGTGCCCTGCCAATACAAGGCTTCACCACTTGTGAAAGGAGACCCAAAGCTCCCCAGCAGAGCTGAACGGACCCCCTGGAGAAAGCCGCCTGGCCTAGGGTAGTCCTATAGACACCCTTTCTTCAGTCAAGCAAGGCCTCCTTTCATCATGGTCGCGCCTCTGCCTGCTGAAGACCAGGCTGCTGACTTTAGCCTCAGCTTTTGGTAAGGAGAGGTAGGGGGACTGCTGCACTGCTGAAGAGCCAGGCCTCCTAGAACTGCCCACATAAAAGCTGCTTTCCAAGGCACAACGATGCCATATCCTCCTTCATAGTGGAAGGGTGAGAAGGGGTGTGTCCTGGGGTGTGCCTGCCTGGCCAGCCAAGGAAGCCTACCAGGCCCTAAGGTGTGCATACAAAGACGGCTGCATCCTGACACACGCATTACCACAGGGGGTTCGCAGGGGGACTGATTCCTTGGGACTGGTCACACACACTGAAAGGGACACGAGAGAGTGAGGCCAGATAAGGCCATTAATTCAGTCTCAGTCAACATGGAACAGTACCTGTGCTCCTTACCCAGGTCACCTCTGAAACAGATCCCTGGAGAAACATCACTGACCTGTGCTGAGTAAGTCCTAATCATAATCTTAATTTCTAGCCAAGCGGTGGTGGCGCACGCCTTTAATCCCAGCACCAGGGAGGCAGAGGCAGGCAAATCACTGAGTTTGGGGCCAGCCTGGTCTACAGAATAAGTTCCAGGACAGCCAGGGATAAACAGAAAAACAGTCTTGAAATACACCCTCTGCCAAAAAAAAAAAAAAAAGAATCAGTTTCTTAACCTGAAGAGACATGGGGAAAAGAAACAGACCTTGGCCCAAATAGGCCTGCCTATCTCAGTTTAGGGCTTACCGCCCAGATTTAAATCCTGGCCCTGTACCTGGCTGCCCACCACAGACCAAAGTTTAGCCAACAAGTGATATAAAATATTCTACAAGTTTCAAAACCCAGGGCTGTTAATATATAGGGAGGTGCTCAGTCTTACTGCAACTTGATATGCCATGTTTTATTGATACTCATAGGAGACCTGTCCTTTTCTGGATGGAGACATAAGAGGGGGGGGAATAGGAGAGAGTGACTGAGAGGAGAGGACTGGGGAGGGGAGAGGCTACAGCCAGGATATAAAATAAATTTAAAACAAACAAAAATCTTGAAAAACAAAAACAAAAACCCAGGGCTGGCGATACAAATCACACACTTGCTGCACAGGCCTGACAACCTGAGTTCAGAACCCATAGTAGGAAAAGAGATCGAACTCCTGAAAGCTGTCCCCGACCTCCACATATGTGCCACGAAACACACATGTGTTGCATGTGTGTACTGGGGGGTGCAGGGGTTGTGGGCACACAATACAGGTTTTTTGTTTGTTTTTTTAAAGCACAGAATTTGCTGGGCATAGTACTGCACACCTTTAATCCCAGCACTCCAGAAGCAGGTGGATCTCTATGAGTTCACAACCAGCTTGGTCTACAAAGCAAGCTCTAGGCCAGCCAGAGCTACACAGTTGAGACCCTGTCACAAAAACAAACAAACAAACAAGCCCACAACCCCACAAAACCAAACAGAATTTGACTGTTCCCTAGAACAACTGCTGAAGGTAAGTGAGTGCAGTTAACTCTAGCATTCTCCACCCTGGGGCAGCCTCTTCAAGCTGCCTATGATGGCTGCACCTAAACTGGATGCGTACCTGCAGTACAGCAGTGCCCAACAGTGCAGTACAGCAACCGCCTCCTGGCATGTTACGTTCATACACCCAGTATTTTAAACCACCTCAAGATTTAAACCATAGGAAGAAGTGCACAGTCACATGCAAATGCTGCATCATCTCAAACAAAGGACCTGAGCATCTGAACCTTGGGATCTATAAGGTCCCTCTCCCACAGACACCAAAGGATGACTGGGCTTGCTATGCAGCTTTCCAGCTAGTTGACCTCTTTACCTAAGATGCTACCCTGTGAACCAAGGATAATACCCTTGCCCACAGGGTAGCAGATGGTTACACAAAGCACTAGGTATTTGTTGCAGTATCTGCTGCATGACTTAGCACCAGAGAGGTCCCTGGTAGATGGCTGGGAGTGGCAGGGACAGGACAACCTTACTACCAGACATCTGTGACTGCTCTGAGAAATCAGGAAGCCAAGGGTGGCCCCACACAGCAAGAAAAGCATAAAAGCCATTATCCCAGGGTGAACTGTGTCCTCAAACTCATGAAGCCCACCTAGAGCTACAGCAAGGGGCTGTTTTGGAGAGAACATCACACATGTGATGGTAGTGGTGGGGTGGGAAATGTGAGCATTCATTAAGAAGTTGAGCACAGAGAAACACAAGGGTGTACATGGCATCTGCAGGCCAGAGATGTCAGAAGCCATCCTGCCCATGCTTGTTGCTTGGCCACCTAACTCCAACTGAGAATGAGCTCCTGTCTTCTCTGCCAATTCAGGCATTCTATCCAAGCAATCCGGCAGGCCAGAATGGCCACATTAGTTTTCCTAACAGCTTAGGGAGGTAGCAACTCATCACAACAGCCTAGCTACCCCCAAAGGTGGACAGACAAAAAATGGCCTGCCAACCCTTCACATTGCTGACCTAAAGTTCTGAACTCCAGCCAAGCCAAGTAACACCCTTCCAACACCCCACCTACCCACCCACCCACCTGTGAGCTCAGGCCTGTCCTGCTCCCAACATTCTGCCTACCCTGCAGTACCCTAGTAGGTGAGCATGTATCCCCAACTCCAGGGAGGAAGGGGCCAGGGGCAGGCTGAGGCTGATGAGCACAGGTGGAAAGTGCAGGGCCCTAAATAGCTATGAAGGACATTATTCAACAATGTAAAGCACTCCTAGGATCCCATGTGAGCATGAGAGATTTGGTGGGGGGAGGAAGTTCCATGGGCAGCTTTATTAGTCAGTAAGGACGACAGGGTGGACATACCATGAGCCCTCCAGAGCAAGGAGGCGCAGGACAGAAGGGAAAGATGACTTCTTGAAAACAGATACTCTATAAGGACCACCAGGACATGGCAGGCCGGGGAAAACCTGCCCTACCCTCCTCTACCCACCTCCACACCCCCCACTAGACAGAACAGAGCACTCACCTATGAGCGTCTTCAGACACTGGCCAGAGGCAGTGTCCCAGATGCGGCTGTCAAGCAAGAATAGAATATGTGAGAATACAGACTGCTGTGAGTGCTGTCACCAGGCCCACCGAGCTCTGGGAGGGCACTTCTCCAATTCCCACAGCACCGCACTGCACACAACAATTACTCTCTGTCTCTAGAGACTGAGCAAAAACTACATGTGCACACATGGGTGGGCTTCATCTGACCCAGAATGTCTCCCAACCTGGCATAAAGGACACCTGTCCTCTAGGCAGGATTACAGAGAAACCCTGTCTCAAAAAAAAAAAAAGCCAAGCAGTAGTAGTGGACTCCTTTAATCCCACTTTAATCCCAGCACTCTGGTGGCAGAGGCAGGTAGATCTTTGAGGCCAACCTGGTCTACAGAATGAATTCTGGGACAGCCAGGGCTATACAGAGAAACCCTGTCTTGAAAAACCAAAACCAAACAAAAAAAGATGCCTGTCCTCTCTACATTCTAATTTAAGGGCCACCAATGGCCAGTGTATCCCACAGAGGGCTGAGCTGTTACAAAATAAAGACTGTAGCATTTCCTGGATATCCCCACAGGTTTATGACAAGGAACCTGTTCAGATCACCATCCCAGAGAGGATATGCCAGGCTTTGACATGGTTGCAGATACAAAGGTCTATGACTTTTGCTAACAATCCACACTTCTTCAGCAGCACCCTGAAGCAGGGACACTGGCTCTTTGCTAGGCTTCTTCCCAATCAGATCCCCCCCATGCTCTCACTGAATCTAAATCTTACCCAGGCCAGGCCCCATATACCATTCCCCAAAGTGAGGCAATCCCCAACACACCCACATGCAGCCTCTCCACATCTCCTCCAAGTCTCCACTCTTGGGACAAGCTAGTCTGGTCTAGAAGCAAGAGCCCTTTCTCCCCCTCTGCTCAGTCCTCTCAGCACACGCACATGCCCGGTGACACTTCTCTGCAGGCACTTTTTTATTTTTTGATCCTCATCCCCAGATGACAGATGTAAGCTGCCACAACTGGAATCCTCTGTGGATTTCTTTTTTGCGAGTCTCACTATGTACCTCTAGCTGGCCTTGAACTCACAAAGATCTGCCTCCTCAGTGCTGGGATTAAAGGCTTAAAGGCATGCACTACCTGCTGGCCTCTTTTAATTCGCTTTTGTACAATAGCAAAAACATTCTGAAACCCAACCACCTACTGGCACACATGCTCAGAGTGACTGATGGTGACTTGTAACTCCATCCTGAACTCCCCAGGGTGTGTGCTCAAGCAGTCTCATTCTCCATGGCTCCTCCCCTTTCCTATCAAAGCATCCCTAAATATCCTAGCATTTAATTGTCAACAGAGCTCTTTTTCCATCATCTTCTTGGTTAACTCCAGGCCAAAAAAAACCAGTCACCTTAAAACCTGGTAAATGTGTGATAATCCCACAAATCAGACAGCAAGAGGCTGGGCAGCGCAGCTGACTCAGAAGGGGATCCTGGTCTGTCACTTACTAGCTGAGGGACAACTGTCAAGTATTTATGCTTACCTACACTTTCCAAGTGACAAATGAGGATGGCAAGAATTTGATACGGCAAGGGAAGGAGGACCACATAGGTGGCTTTTTAGTTTTTATTTGTGAGTGTCTGCATTTGAGTCCCAGGGCTACAAAAGGAGACCCTGTCTCTAATAAACTAATTGATTAATAATTTTTAAGATCCCAGGACCCCAAGAATAATCTCAGACTATTAACCACTTCCTCCGGCTCTCTTTAGGGTGTCTGCCTCCATCACATCTCCAGGGTCCACTTAGGAAAAGAGGGGTCAAGAGCAGTGCACTGCTGGTGCTCCTGTCCTCTCCGAACTCAGGGGACCACCTCCCTATTGCTCATCTTTACTTTTGAGTCCTAGGTTTTAGCTCTTTACCTATCAAACACGCCTTTCACAGTGGTTCCTACTTCTCTGCACTCCACCACCTTTTCTGTCTTCCTTTCTGACAGGTCTCACCATGCAGCCCTAATGTCTTCAAATCCTCAACTGTGCCAGCTTCTGCTCCCGAGTGCTGGGATGAGGGTGTGCTCCTTTCAACTTTCTAAGCTCCTTCTTGCCAGCTTCTTCAATAAACTGTTTCTAACTTTTTGGAAAGTTTCTTAAAGCCAAGTCTACACATGGTCTGATGCCTACCCCAGGTTCTAGGTCACTGTCGAGCACTAAAGGCTGGTCAACATACTCAGGTGCCAGGGGGGCAGGACACTTGGGGGGAAAGGGGCTCTGTGCCCCCAGACTTCTCTCTAGCATCGCTGCCACCTGGTATTATTCTCTGTGGCAAACAGAGGAATGGTCTCAATGGCTTTTACTTTGGCCACTAGTGACAAGCACAGGGCCCAGGACGGGGGGACTTTGTGCTATAGCACACCTAGGTAACCACAGCCCCAAATGCTATTACCATATTACTCTGGGCAGAGTAAGGTGCAGACAACAGCCAGGGCTCAGGTACTGATCTCCCATCAGCATCTCCAGCCTCATGAGGAGGCTGTGTGCTGATTGCAGACTAGCCTCTGGGGCTCCAGCCAACCCACTCTCACAGACCTGTGGTTCTCCTGTTACCATCTCCCCAACCTCCTGTGCTCTGGACTCATTCTGGAAAATTCAAGTTTCAAGTGTGCTTCCCCCTGAGGTCTTGGGGCTGCTCTGCCAATGACAGTGACAGCAGAGTAACACACACGGACTGGCAACACTGAAACAAGTCGTAGTGAACTGATCTTCCTTTGGAAAGAACTGTCTTTTTGCTAGAGTTTGTGCCACCCCAAAGAGAAAGAAAATGTTTAGTTCACATCACTCAATACTCTGTACATGTGCAGTAAACAAATAATATTGCCAAGTGGCTTCACTAAATCCCAGCCCAGCCCTGTTCAGTCAATGTGATGAAACTCAGGCTGAGCAACTGCAAGGCTCGGTTCCACCTGCAGCTCCACAAAAAATTAGTAAAATTTAAGCCACCGTCTCTGTTATGTCTAGATATCACTCTCTGCTTTTTGGTCACAGTACTGCTTGGGGACCCACAGGTTTCTAGTTCCTTTGGTTCACTCCAGGCCACACTGCCCTGTCCTATCTTCAAATCAGTTCTTGGCTGCACAGATGTCAGGCACCTGGCCCGCTCAAACACTTCCTTTTAGGTATCTTTAATTTTAGGTGTATTTAAATGCATCCAAGGTCTTTTTAACCTCAAAGCCATGGATGGCCTTTAGTGAGGGTATTCAGCCAGCCCATCAACCCTGCCATACACCAACAGCATGCTTCACTCACCCACACAAGACTCACTCTGTTCTCTATCAGCCTCTAGTTCTGCTCAACACAGAGTTATGATCTCCAACTCAGGGTACAACTAGCACTTTATTCCTAAGCCTGTCTGCCTCTTGTGACCTACACTCTCCCTTGTCTCCTAAAGAACCCTGAGCACTTCTACCCAGCAGTCAGGTCTACACTGCCATCCACTGCTGGAAGCTCTGCAGACCACGCCTCGGGCTTTTCCTCTTTCACACAATGGGATCTGGTGGTTCACCTGCTCAGAATCCATGGGATCTGTGGACAGGGCCACTATACTTCCTTTCTACAACTGTGAAATAGCACACTCAGGGGAATGCAAAGCTCACAGCTCTCACTCTGCCCTGGGTGGTCTCACCTCTCAGTCATCTCTACCACCTCCTTATAAAAGCTTTTCACCCACTGAACTATGTAACACACGTCTGTCAATGACCTGCAACCAGAGGGGCACAGACTTCTAGAATTTGAGGCATATGTCCCCTCTTTCTGCTGCACCACAGAGCTGGAACAACAGCACAATAGGCCATAAACAATTGTTCACTACATGAAGAAGACTATCACTTACCAGAGGCCATCGTAGCTACTGGAAACGATCAACGATCCATCACGGTTAAAATGAACCTACAAATCAGAGGAGGAAAAGAAGCTGACTTCCTAATCAGCAGCATGTGGCTCTGGATCCGAGTGGTATCCTGCCCACAGAACTCACCACATACCTTCCCTTTGGGTGCCCAACAAGGCCAATACAACTGGGGATGGGAGGGGGAACCACAACACCTTTCCCACCAGCAAAAAGCGAGACCTTCAAGTCAGGAGAGACAGCTGGTTTTCTGGAATGGTCCACAGGTGCTCTGGTGCTCACTCACTAAGCCTGAGTGTCTGATACCTAGATCACTGCCACACCAGATGCTCAATGGGACAGACCAGCCATGAGACTCAGGCCACTATGCAAATTTCACTGGGAGCCCCTTGGTGCCCTTAGGAGACTTTAGGCCCTCTTGTAACCGACTTAGTGTTTCCTTTTTATTTTTGAGACAGGGTCTTGTGAAGCTGTGGTTGACTCTGAACTCACTGCGTAGCTGTAGCTTTTACCCCTAATCTTCCTGCCTCTGCCAGCGCGGGGAGTACAGGCGTAGAACACCACGCCTATGCATGTGCCTATGCTTCTGCGATGCTGGTGATGGACCCAGGACTGTGGTGCAGGCTGGGCAAACACTGCCAACTGGGCTACTTCTCTAGCCCTGCTGAGTCTATCTCGGGAGTTTCTGTAACTTTCACTGAGTCTCTGGCAGGTGTGGCCAAAGACAAACCTTTTTACAGATGAACTCTCAATGTATGGTGTGGCAATAAGCTTAAGCAATACTCCAACTCAACTTCCTAAGGGCTAGGTTCACAGATATGTACAAAAACTTACAACCAACCTTCAGATTTCAGGGACTCTTGCCATCACAGACCTGACAGACCAAGCAGGACTCTACAGCACTGGAACCACAGAGGTCACTTTTTACTGCTGACAAGTATGTGCCAGATCCTGAACAGTCATTAACTGTAACTGTCAACCACTTAGATCTCCTTCCTTAATTCAAGATAATCCAACTACCCACATTCATTCCTATCTTTAATACACAAAACAGATTTTTAAGACATTAAGGGGGTAAGGAATTGATATGGGCACCTGACACTTATTTCCACACAGCTAATATGCAGCTAACACCTTGGAGAAAAGCAAGATAGCAAGCCCACATGGTACCCAGACCCACCCTGGACCAATTAACAGGACTATGCTAGAGGTGAGACACAGCAAATAGTTAAGGGTCCCATCAATACAATGACAACACACAGGCCAAGGCTGCAGCTAGGGAGAGAGTATAGGAAGAAGCTTCAGTTGAGGCTAGGCCTAAACCAAGGTGGTGAACTCTGAGGGGCATCCAAAGGGGCATTAATTAAATTTCCATTACCAGACCCACTAGCTCAAGTATCCTGTGAGTGTGAAAAGCTGTGCCAACAGACCCTCTCTTTGATAGAAGTGCTAAAAAAAAAAAGCTTTGAGGGTACCCAGACAAGTGTTGGCCCAAAGTGGGTCCCAGGAATATAGATGTACATAGATACCCAAGAGGCTCTTCTGAACCAGATAGTAACAACCAGACAGCAGTTAGGCGGTCCCAGTATCACTTAAAAGCAAAGCATGAGGAAGGGTGGGTTTTTCGAGACAAGGTTTCTCTGTGTAGCTTTGGTGCCTGTCCTGGATCTCACGCTGTAGACCAGGCTGGCCTCAAACTCACAGAGATCCACCTGCCTCTGCCTCCTGAGTGCTGGGATTAAAGGCGTGCCCCACCACTGCCCAGCAAAGGGTGGGTATTTAAACTGAAGGCCAAAGCTGAGTATGGCGGCCTATACCTTTAATCCCAGTATTGGGAAGGCAGGGGCTGGCAGCTATGAGTTTGAGGCCAGCCTGGTCTATCTATACAGCCAGTTCCCGCCCAGCCTGAGCTACATACTGAGACTCCGTCTCTAAATTACTTAACTAATTTTGTAAAGGGTGAGGAGGGCGGCACTGAAGAGATGACTCAGTAGACAAGAACCTTTGCGGCCCTTTCAGAAGACCCCGGTTTGGTCCAGCACACCCACATGTCGGTTCACAACCACCCAAAACTCCAGTCAGAGGAGCTGATGTCCTCTGACATTTGTGGGCACCAGGCACACACATGGTTCATATAAATGCAGAAGGAAACACTCATACACATCAAATTTAATAATCTACCCCCCCCCAAAAAAAAAAACCCAAAAAACAGAAGACCCCAGGGGGCAGAGTCCAGCTGACCCAGGGGCTGTTGGTCTGCTTCCTACGCCTGCTGCCTTCCTAAGTTCAACTTGCACAAAGCTCCTGTAGGAGACCAGATGGGACCTTCTTCCTGTCTCTTATAGCCATTCCTGACCCATATCCACACAGCTCTCTTTACTCACACCCCTCAAACTTACTTTCTTAGTAGTGTTCAGCTAACCCTCAGTACGGAAATGAGTTCAACCTCACTGTGCCCCTATGTAACCCCAGAGGGAGGGCAGCCAGCCCTAGTCAAGCTGGGCCTATGTGACAACACTGGTTACAGGAGCAGTGGCTCTAAGTCACGTGAGCTATGTGCACACCAGGACTGCATGATATGGGTGGTCTTGCTGAGCCAAAGGATAAAAGGCTTAAGACCCTAAACTAACAGAGCTTTAGTAAGCAAGTGTCAGTCCAGCCAGTCAACAGAATGCTGACACATGCTTATTCTGCCATCAGGCAGCTATGACACAGGACCCTTTGAGCCCTTGCTTTCTTGGGAACTGGAGAGTTAAGTCCAGGGCCTCAAGAATCCTAGGTGAATATCCTACAATGGAAGCTTTTGTCTCTCTGTAACACAAGTTGGCATCTAACTGAGCCATGTCTATAATTGGCACAATTTGGGCTGGGGACACAGCTCAATGGTAGAACACTTGCCTAGTGTGCACCAGTCCTGGGTTCAATACCCAGCACCAAGTAAACAAACAAACAAATAAATAGAAATCAACGAATGGTAGAACACTTGCCTAGTGTGCACCAGTCCTGGGTTCAATACCCAGAACCTAAATAAATAAATAGAAATCAATGAACCAATCAGGTGTGACGGCACACACCTATAATTCCAGCCTTTTGAAGATGGAGGCACGAGGAGCACAAGGTTAAGGTCATCCTCAGAAAGCCTCCTCGAGACCAGCTGGGCGGGAGGTGGGGGGGGGGTACTCATCAATATCAATGAACTGTCTAGTTTGGCACTTGTCACTTGTTTTGTCCAGAACAGTAGCTGGCTAACACAAGAGCACAGACACCATGCGGGCTAGATTAGAGGGCCCTGGCATCAGCAGCTCACATCTGTTTTATGCCACCTGTGTGTGTGTGCTGGTTGGTTTTTGTCAATTTGACTCAAACCCTCTGGAAAGAGGGATCTTAATTGAGGACATGCCTCCATTAAGACTGGCCTGCAGAAAGTCTGCAGGGTGTTTTCTTGATTAATGATTGTAGGGCCTTAAGTGTAAGTGATGCCACCTTTATGCAGGTGGACCTGGCTTGTATAAAAAAGTAAAATGACCAAGCCACAAGAGCAAGACAGTAAGCAATGTTCCTCCATGGCCTATGTAACAGTTCCTGTATCCAGGTTCCTGCTCTAACTTCCTTCAATGATGGAACTGTGATAAGAAGTAATAGATGAAATATACCCCCGGGCAGGGGTGGGGCATGCCTTTATCTCCAGCACTCTGGAGGCAAAGTGTGGTGGTTTGAATGAAAATGGTACCCATAGGCTCAGGGGGTGGCACTACTCGGTGTGACCTTGTTGGAGGAAGTGTGTCACTGGGGGTGGGCTTTGAGGTTTCCAATGCTCAAGCCAACCCCAGTGTCACTCTCTTCCAGCTGCCTGCCCATCAGATATAGATTTCTCTGCTCCTTCTCCAGCACATCTGCCTGTATGCCACCATCCTTCCTGCCATGACAAACTTCTAAACTTGTCAGCCAGGCCCAACTAAATGTTTTCCTTATAAGAGTTGAGTTGGTCATGGTGCCTCTTCACAGCAATAGAAACCCTAACTAAGACTCAGAGACAGATGGATCTTTGTGAGTTCTAGGATAGCCAGAGCTACAGAGAAACCCTGTCCAAAAAAAAAAAAAAAAAAAAAACAAAGACGAAATAACCTCTCTTCCTGTACTGGCTAGTTTTATGTCAACTTGACACAAGCTAGAGTCAGAGAGAAGGGAGCCTCAACTGAGAAAATGCCTCCATAACACTGAGCTGTAGGCAAGCCTGTAGGGCATTTCTTAGTTAGTGACTAATGATGGAGGAACCATTCCTGGGCTTGGTCCTGGGTTCTCTAAGAAAGCAGACTGAGCAAGCCATGAAAAGCAAGCCAGTTAGCAACACTCACTCTTCTGTGGCCTCTGCACCAGCTCCTGCCACCAGATTCCAGCTCTGCCTGAGTTCCTGTCTGACTCCCATCAATGGTGGACTATGATGGGCAAGTGTATGCAAAATAAACCCTTTCCTCCCCAATTTGCTTTTGGTCATGGTCTTTCATTATAGCAATAGTAAACCAAAACTAAGACACTCCCAGGTTGCTTTTGGTCACTGTGTTTTATCACAGCAACAGAAACCCTAGGATGCCACCACACCCACTAATTAAAGCTACTCTACTCAAAATTCTCTTGACCTGTGTTTAGTGCCCACTGCATGGCTCTCTGTTGTCCAAACACATTCCTTTACACTTAGCCACCCCTATCCTGTGAAAGCTCATTCCCTAACACCCCCTTAAAAATCTCTGGCCATCTACCTTCCAGCCCACAAAGTGTCCCATGGTGCTCCCCACTGTACCCCACCCACCCACCACAACACACAGAACAAAGAGATGTCTTGGCTTCTGGTCATCTGGATGCTATATGTGAGCAAATAAGTTCACTCATGTAGGGTACATGTCAGGAGGACTTACGGCTGAGACTGGGTCCGAATGGGCAGGCAAAGTCTTGAGGCACTTCCCTGTCTTCACGTCCCATATCCTCACACTTTCATCAAACTAAAGATGAGACAGGACGTTAAAGTGACTCTACAGGAACAGAGGAGCAGCAACAGTGTGGCTCCTGAGACCCAAAACCTGTCCCCACCCTGCCTACCCCACACCGAGCTCCAGTATGTGACACCACACACACCACCCTCGGAGGAGAGACCCACGCACTTACAGACCCTGAGACGATGAGGTTGGACTGGGGGTTGAAGTTGCAGCAGAAGACATAGTTACTGTGGCCCTTCAGGGTCTTCAGACACTTTCCCTAGAGAAATCACAGCACAGCAAGCTCCGTGATTCCCAGGGGCTATATCCCCAGATATAAGCCTGTACTTCCCAGCACATCTAAAGACCTCCCCAAAACCAACGCATCTCAACTACAGGTAACCCCTGGGAAGACCAGTGTCACTTACAGAACTCACGTCCCATATCTTCAACGTTTTATCATCAGAGGCAGACACGAGGAGGTTAGAATCTGACGACCAAGCTACATCAGATATTCCCTTGGGAAAGAAAAAACAGTTGGTTACCACCATGTAGATCAAATCCAAATGAACAGTTAAAGGATCAGCCCCACCTAACTATGCACCATGCCCTCAGGAAATCTTCTAGACAGCATTAGCAAAAGGCCACTACTCTCAGCTCTGCCAGGCTTCCTAGACTCCCTCACCTATGGAGGCCCAAAGTGCTTGCACTAAAAATATAAAGCAGCCAGGTGTGGTAGTGCAAGCCTGATTCTGAGGCAGGATGACTGCAGTTCCACACCAGCCTGGACTACAGAGTAAGACCCTGTACCCATCAGCCTTGAAGACAGGCCCGACAAGCTGGGTCATGGTGGTGCCCACCTTGTAGTCCCTGCACTCATGAGGCCAAAACAGGCCGATCTCTGAGTTCAAGGCCAGCCTGGTCTACAGAGTAAGTTTCAGGAGAGACAGGTCAATTAGCCTTCTGACTTAACAGCCAATGCACCTCACAGGAAACCTACCAGCTTGTGACCGGATATGGTTTTCTCGAACTTTCCGTCATATGCTCCCCATATTTTAATGAGTTTATCAGCAGCTGAAAGAATTGAAAAGGAGCTGGAGTTAGAAAAGGTAGCTAGCTATTCCCCTAAAATACAGGGGCTAGGTCACTCAGTGAACTAAGTGTGGAAGTGTGGGCCCCACCCCCTCCCACCCCTTCACTGTACAGTGGCAATACATACGAAAAAGCAATTACATTCTGAATGCTAACAAACCTACACACCTATGGAAGCAGTAAGAAGGAACAGTCGGCCTTCCCCGCCCCCTCAGCTAAAGTTCACACAGCCTTTCCATCAGCCAGAGGACTGAAGGATAGATACTCACATGAACTTGCCAGCCACTCCCCATTGGGGCTGAACTTGACAGAGGATACAGCCTTTGTGTGGCCAGCCAGGGTGAACTTCAGAGCATAGTTTGGCTTAACAGGTGTGGGCTGTGGGAGACAGTACAACTTAGCCAGAGGCAACTATCATCACCCAGTCATCTCACTTGATGCCCAAAGAGTAATTAAGTATTAGCTGGTTCCAAACTCGCACACTAGAACTTACTACCTTATCTGATGTCACCCTTCACTGTCAGTGTGCGCCTATCACTCTCTTCAAAGCCCCTACTTCCTCTGGAGTCCCCACCTCAGCACACCAAGAATTTGTAATTTTCTGGCCAAGTGTGGTGGTGTATGTCTTTAAATTAATCCCAGCACATGAAGGGGAGAGGGAGACAGAGGCAGGCATATCTGTATGAGTTCAAGACTAGCCTGGTCTGCATGTTAAGTTCCTCACCAGCCTCAAAGCAAACTGTACTTTTTGTTAAACCCCATCCCCACCACCTTAGGTCTGGGAATGGCACCTAACAGCCTGCTATGTGTGACCACTGCTGTGTGATTGGAACTCACACTGGCAGCATACCTTAAGGGGCAGAGCAGCCTGGACTAACGAAATAACATCCCTAAGAACTTCTCCAGCCTGTCTGCCACAGTGGTCCCTGTGGTACATACCTTGCTCTGTGTGGCTGATGAGGAAGGGGTGGGCTGTGCTCTTGCAGCCTCTGTCTCTGGCTTCTTCTCCTCCGTGGCCATGGCTCTGAAGCCCACCAAGCAGGACACAGTGAAGGGGAAGTCACAGTGGAAGAGGCTGTCAGCTAAATCGTACTCTACAGTATGGGGCCTATAAATAAATCCTTTCTTTAAAAAAGGTAACTGGGAGGGGACTGGATGCTGTTCCAGAGGACCTGAGTTTGATTCTCACTAGTGGGCTTACAACCATCTCTAAGTCCAGTTCAGAGAATCTGACGCCCTCTTCTGGCCTCTACAGGGACTACATGCATGTGGTATGCAGACATACACGCAGGTAAAAAGACAAAACATACACACACATAAAATAAATTTGGCTAGGCATGGTGACACACGCCTTTAATCCCAGCACTTGGGAGGCAGAGGCAGGTGGATCTCTGAGTTTGAGGCCAGCCTGGGCTACAGAGTGAATTCCAGGACAACCAGGGCTATACAGAGAAACCCCATTTCAAAACAACAAAAAGGTTGTTGAGGCTGAGCTGCAATAACTCATTGAGAGAGCATTCACCTAACATGCATAAGACCACCACGCCCGAATAACAAAAAGCAGTGATTCTCAGGAAAAAGGGTAAAAGGGAGAAACACGAGCACTACATTGAACCCTGCAGCAAATTAGCTGCTCCAAGCTGGGGATCATAGTTGTCACCCTACCCCAAGGCAGAAACTTCAGATGCTCTGCATGATGACCTGCTCTTGATCCCTTTGTGAGCCTAAGAAAAAAACTTGACCCTCAAGAAGGCTTCCCACTGCAGTATCCAGATGTGTGCAGGCATGTGAGCTTTAACTTCAAAGTGTCTTAGACAGTTTTAAAAAGGCTTTCTGACAGAAACTGATAGGCCAAGTGACAGGAGGTGGACCTTCTGTGCAGAAGTTTGGGGGCTTATCCTAAAATACACCTAAGGAATTTGATCATGAAAACATAGCAGTATGACCTCAGTGGCCACCACCTCATCAGTGGCTCCCTGAGACCTCACAGGCTGCAGGTGCAAAGCTGCTTTCTAGAATGCTAAGAGCTAACAGAGCTCAAGGACTCAGTGCACACAATACTACAAAAGAGGTGCAGGAGTAAACCAGAGTGGCCACTGCCTCCATAGGTGTATTTTAGGATAAGCCCCCAAACTTCTGCACAGGTTTCCTCTGGAGGAGCGGCAGGACGGAACAGCAGCGAAACTGCAAACTACATGCATGCTGCAGTGCAGAGGGAAGTAACTATTCCAGTCAGCTTGACAGCACTCAGCCTGAAACGTGTGCGCCTGCAACAGCTAATTCCATCGCAGCAATAGGTCCCATCACCTGAATGCATCGCACAAAGCACACCACGGGACTGGGAAATGAGTACTCCTCAAAGGAGAGCTACCAACACATGCTTACAAATGTCACTGGCCATGGATTCCTCGGTCATCAATGTAAGGAGGAAGCAGGATGTAAATTCCAGCTTTGAGATTAACCCTGAAACCTCACACAGACCTCATATAAGACTAAGACAAATGAAAGATTTAAAAAAAAAAAAAAAAAAGGGCGGTGGTGGCGCACACCTTTAATCCCAGCACTTGGGAGGCAGAGGCAGGCGGATCTCTTGAGTTCGAGGCCAGCCTGGGCTACAAAGTGAGTTCCAGGCAAGGCGCAAAGCTACACAGAGAAACCCTGCCTCAAAAAAAATCAAACCATGTCTCAAAGTCTTCAATCCGCCGGGCGGTGGTGGCGCACGCCTTTAATCCCAGCACTC